TGTCAATGTTCTTGGGCTGACACATCCACCGTGAACATTTGGAACAACGGGCGGTGGAGGGCGCAGCTTCTCCACTCCCAGTCCCAACCAGCAGGGGGAGTGCCAGGGAGCAACACCCGCCGGGCTGTATCTGATTGACAGCCGGGGGGGTCCACTGTGCTTTGCTTTGCAGAAAGCCGATCTGGCAGTGGCGGCCTTCACCATCACGGCGGAGCGGGAGAAGGTCATCGACTTCTCCAAGCCCTTCATGACCCTGGGGATCAGCATCCTGTACCGAGTACACATGGTACGTGCGTCTGGCGGGATCTGGGGGCGGGGACAGGGACGGGAGGGGTTAGACGAGGGCAGCCGGACAGGGCCAAGGATAGAACAGTGTGGTAACGTCTCGTTCCGCACGGCCCTGGAGCTCCGCTGACATAGTGGATGATCTCATTCCAGATCCTGATGCTTGAGATAAGAGTTCTGATTTATCTTCTTACATCAAATGCAGAGTAGTCTTGTTGAAGCGATGCCTAATGAAGCAGCCCTAATTGCCCAGACTGCCCTGGCCTGGACAGCCCCGGACAGCCCAGTCATCAGTCTCAGAAGCTTAAGAGGGTCGGCCCTGGTTACTACCTGGATGGGAGACCACCGAGGGTTGCTACGCAGAGGCAGGCAATCTCAAGCCACCTCTGTTTGTCTCTGCCCTGACCTGGATGGCCCAGGCCAGCCTGATCTCATCACGTCTCAGAAGCTTAACAGGGTCGGCCCTGGTTAGTACTTGGATGGGAGACCACCGAGGGTTGCTACGCAGAGGCACCTCCCACACCACCTCTGTTTGTCTCTGCCCTGACTTGGATGGCCCAGGCTAGCATGATCTCGTCAGCTCTCAGAAGCTAAGCAGGGTCAGCCCTGGTTAGAACTTGGATGGGAGACCACCGAGGGTTGTTACGCAGAGGCAGGCAATCTCAAGGTACCTCTGTTTGTCTCTGCCCTGACCTGGATGGCCCAGGCCAGCCTGATCTCATCACGTCTCAGAAGCTTAAAAGGGTCGGCCTTGGTTAGTACTTGGATGGGAGACCACCAAGGGTTGCTACGCAGAGGCAGGCAATCTCAAGGTACCTCTGTTTGTCTCTGCCCTGACCTGGATGGCCCAGGCCAGCCTGATCTCATCACGTCTCAGAAGCTTAAAAGGGTCGGCCTTGGTTAGTACTTGGATGGGAGACCACCAAGGGTTGCTACGCAGAGGCAGGCAATCGCAAACCGCGTCTGTTTGTGTCTGACCTGACCTGGATGGCCCAGGCGAGCCCAATCTCATCAGATCTCAGATGCTAAGGAGGGTCGGCCCTGGTGAGCACCTGGATGGGAGACCACCAAGGGTTGCTACGCAGAGGCAGGCAATGGCAAACCACCTTTGTTTGTATCTTACCTGACTTGAATGTCCCAGGCTAGCCCAATTTCGTCAGGTCTCAGAAGCAAAGTAGGGTTGGCCCTGATTAACACTTGGATGGGAAACCACTGAGAACATCTAGGGTTGCTACGCAGAGGCAGGCAACGGCAAACCACCTCTGTTTGTCTCTGCCCTGCCCTGGATGGCCCAATCTAGCCCGATCTCATCACGTCTTCGAAGCTAAGCAGGGTCAGCCCTGGTTAGCACCTGGGTGGGAGACCAGCGAGGAAGTCCAGTGTCGCTATGCAGAGGCAAGCAGCAGCAAACCTCTGAACATCTCCTGCCTTGAAAACCCTGCAGAGGTGCTAAGTCAGCTGCGACTTACTGGCACTCTCCACTGCGGCCAAAAGCCCAGACTATCCCCAGTCTCGTAAGAGCTCGGAAGCTAAGCAGGGTCAAGGACAGCCAGTACTTGGACGGGAGACCGCTAAGGAAGACAGGGGCTGCTTTGCAGAGGCAGGCAATGGCAAAACACCTCTGCTCATCTCTTGAAGACCCCATAAAGTGGAACTTCATTGGGTCGCCATGGGTTGGCTGTGACCGGAGGGCACACTTTACCTTTACTAAAGGAGACTCTGGTTAAAGGAACACGTCTGACTTCTCCTACAGGGCGATAGCCGTGAACAGTCAAGCCTTGGAGCAGTGGTCCTTTCCGCACGTGGATCTCATCCCTGGTTTTATCAGAGTTTAACTCACGACACAATACCTTGCATCTATCCCTGGTTATAACAGCATCCGTTTTTTCCGGGACAAGTGTGGGGCGAAACCGGGGTGACCTCAATGTAATGTGGAAACATAAAATACCCCGAGATTATTACAGGGGTGAACTCACGTGTAGTGTAGAATTTTAAAAATATCCTGAGATAATTACAGGGGTGAACTTGCGTGTAGTGTAGAATTTTTAAAAAACCGAGATAATTACAGGGGTGAACTTGCGTGTAGTGTAGAATTTTTTTAAAACTGAGATAATTACAGGGGTGAACTCGCGTGTAGTGTAGAATTTTTTAAAAACCGAGATAATTACAGGGGTGAACTCGCGTGTAGTGTAGAATTAAAAAACCGAGATAATAATTACAGGGGTGAACTCGTTTTAAAGATACCATGAGATAATTACAGAGGTGAACTCGCGTGTAGTGTAGAATTAAAAAAAAAACCAAGATAACTACAGGGGTGAACTCCAGTGTAGTGTAGAATTTAAAAATACCCCAAGATAATTACTGGGGTGAACTCGTGTGTAGTGTAGAATTTAAAAATACCCCGAGATAATTACAGGGGTGAACATGAGTGTAGTGTAGAATTTTAAAAATACCCTGAGATAATTACAGGGGTGAACTTGCGTGTAGTGTAGAATTTTTTAAAAACCGAGATAATTACAGGGGTGAACTCCAGTGTAGTGTAGAATTTAAAAATACCCCGAGATAATTACAGGGGTGAACGCGCGTGTAGTGTAGAATGTAAGTTCGGGGACAGGGCTGAACCAGGATTTAAGGTCCAGTGTGGAAAGGACCAATGTTTGCAACGGGTTAACCAATCCCATCCCACACCTTGGTCCGTTCCGCACTAGTCCTTAAATCCTGGTTCAACCCTGTCCCTGAACTTACATTCTACACTACACTCGAGTTCACCCCTGTAATTTTCTCGGGATATTTTTTTGTTTCCACATTACATTGTGGTCACCCCAGTTTTGCCCCACACTTGTCCCGGGATAAACGGATGCTGTTACAACCAGGGATAAATGCAAGGTATTGTGTTCTGGGTTGAACTCTGATAAAACCAGGGATGAGATCCAAGTGCGGAAAGGACCGAAGTCACCAAAAAAGGAAGGTTGATCAGAGACTTGGTGTGTCCCTGTCCATGGTCCTGAGACCGCTTTCCTTGATGGGGAAAGAGACTTGCAGGCCTGTTCTAAGCAATAGCAGGCTTATTCCTCTGGTATGCAGAGGAAGTCGGAACGCCAAATTTATTCAGTCGTTTTCGGAAGGCCCAGCTGTTGAGCAGGGAGGGAACACCTGGGAACACCTGGATCGTACCGCTGGTTCAAGAAAACATTGCGGTAGATACAAGAGGATGGCCTTAAAGGTCCATCTGTGGGCCTGTTGCCCTAGGCCAGAGGTCCCCATTTGGAATTCTGGCACAGTATGGTGGGCGCGGTGACAAAATGGCTGCCGCGTGAGGCGGAGCCAGCGACAAAGCGATTGCCACCGCTAAATGTCAGTCACACAATGTAGATCCTCGTGCAGTGACGGCAGCCGCCGCCCAAGCAACATTCTTTTTAAAGTCGGTACTGCCAATCAGATCTCCAACAGCCAGTTAGAAGACTTGCTGTGCAAAAGCCCGACCCGGCCCCATCCACTTGGCAGGCTCCAGAAAAGGTATCGGCGGGCACCACGTTGGGGACACCTGCCTTAGGTGTTCACAGGTGGATTGGTTAAGTCTCCTTTAAGGCACACTCCAGTTAAAGGGGCACCAGCTGTGCTTCCTGATTGGCATCTTTTAATCAGAGCACACTGTGGTAGGCTTCGGCTGCTCGTTAACCCGAGTGTTAACACTACCCATTCCCAGTATGGGAAGATAATGCTGTGTTTAGGCTGTGCTAATCTGGGAAGGTGACCCAGAAAACGCTTCGACGTAGCTCCCCTTTTATCATCACGCTTCTCTTTTCAGGGACGCAAACCGGGCTATTTCTCCTTTCTGGATCCCTTCTCCCCAGCTGTTTGGCTTTTCATGCTCCTGGCGTATCTCGCTGTGAGCTGCGTCCTCTTCCTAGCTGCCCGGTAAGTTATCCCCATTTCTCCAAGTCTGGAATCGCTGTCTTATGATGCACTCCCCCCCCCCCATAGCTAGCAAGGCCAGTTTTCTGTATTCCTATCAGTCGCTCTGTCCTTCCTGCCCTCCTTTGGGTGTATTTTGTCATGCAGACAGACCCCCGTGATAAAATTACTGCCCATCTACTAGCAAGTAATTCAGAATCGCAGACGACGTGCGCTCAGGGAGAGTATATATCAGGGGTGTCCAAACTTGCTTAACCTGACAGCCACACAGAATAAACATCAGATGTTTGAGAGCCGCAAGACATGCACACATATCACACACACACGTTTTTATTGGAAAATATGCACATTTGCTCTTTATTAACATTAAACTAGGCTGCGTGAAACAGCCGCGTGTGGCTCCCAAGCTGCAGTTTGGCCATCCCTGGTATATACACACTAGGTACATATTTTTGTACGTGATGCATGCAAAATCAAGGAAAATAATGCAACACGATGAACAAGTCACTTATGCACATTTGCTCTTTATTAACATTAAACTAGGCTGCATGAAAGAGCCGCGTGTGGCTCCCAAGCTGCAGTTTGGCCATCCCTGGTATATACACACTAGGTACAGTCACATATTTTTGTACGTGACGCATGCAAAATCAAGGAAAAGAATGCAACACGATGAACAAGTCACTTTGATTTCTTACGACGTTTCTCCTTTTCCTCAGTGAGTGAAACCGTAGGCAAAGTTTTTACCGTATTCCAATTTGGCAAGACAGCCCCAAAGCCATATAATGCTGTCTGGGTGGCAATATACCATCTGTGGTCTATCAGCTAGGTACAGGGGTGTCAAACTCATTTGTTATAAGGGCCAGATCTGACATAAATGAGACCTTGTTGGGCCGTGCCGTGTGTGTCATAAAATGGAATGCCAGGTAGCAGAGAGATAAACTTAATAAAGGACACAAACACAAAGGGTTATTTTTACTTAAAATAAAAACATGCTTAAAACATCAGCACTCTTGCAATATTTTGTTTATTTAACAGTGTCTGGTAACTGACGCCTCTTGCTCTGAATTATTGCATCAAAATGTCTGTGCGGTTGCAATCTTGAGTATGCTGTTCAGGTGTGTTTCTGTAAGCTGCAAAGCTGCAATGGCGCAGCAGCAGCAGAACTGGAAGAAGAAGCAGAAGACAGCCAGTCCCACTGTGGGCCTGATAGAAGCCCTCTGGGGGCCTGATGTGGCCCCTGGGCTGCGTGTTTGACACCCGTGGGCTAGGATCTTTGTGATGTACCCTTTGCATTGTTCACATGCGGCTCTTGCAGCAAATAGTGGTGAACACGGGGGCGGTTTAAACACCCTTTAAGCCCCTGAGCATTTCTCCTGTGCTTCGATCGAGCTCATTATGATGTGTGTTGTGCCTCTGGATCCCGATTCCCTTCTTCGCAACACCCCTCCCCACTTCCAATTGGGAGAGAAGGACGTCGAGATCTCCATTCCAGCTCGTGTCTGATGAAGAGAGCTGTGGCCCTCGAAAGCTGATGCCCTGCACATGTCGTTGGTCTCTTAAGGTGCTGCTGGACTCGAATTGAGCTGTTCCACTGCAACATGATTATCCTCTGAAATGATCTCTAAGCCCTGTGATGATTATTTGCGACTATTACCGTAGTCGGGACCGCCTCTCTCAATATGTCCCTGGAAGAGCATTGCGCTCTAGTAATGAGAACCTCTTGGTGGTCCTCGGCCCAAGAGAGATCTGGCTGTCCTCAGCTAGGGCCAGGGCCTTCTCTCTGGCAGAGAACATCCATGCCCTAAGGCAGGGGTGGCAAACATGCGGCCTGGGGGAAGCCCGCAGGCCCCCGGAGGGCTTCCATCAGGCCCGCAGTTGAACTGGCCATCTCCTGCTTCCAGTTCTGCTGCTGCATCATCATCGCTTGCTTCGCCAGACTCTCTCAATCACTCAGCCATTTCATGTTTTAACCTGGGTCCTGGACTCAGACCTCTGAGCATGAGATTTCTGTGGTGAATGTAAATAAATCAAAAGTAGGCTTGTAGCTCACAGAAACACACCTGAACAGCATACTCAAGATTGCAGCAGCACAGACATTTTGATGAAATGATTCAGAGCAAGAGGCGTCCGTTATCAGGCACTGTTAAATAAACAAAATATTGCAAGAGTGCTCATGTTTTAAGCATGTTTTTATTTATTTATTTTTTAATAAATTTTTTATTTTCAAATAACATAATACAATATAGCAGCAATTCATAACAATATAACAAATTTCAATTATGAACTAGGGAGTCCTTAATTAAACATAATTGAATTCTCAAGAAAACATATCAATCTATTCTTACAACCAAATATTTAGACGTATAAAATTAATATCGCTAATTTACAATAGTTTATAGTGCCCAACTATTGCGGATAAAAGAATAATATTGAGATTGCAGAGAACTATGAATATTTTCCAAAACAAACTCTAATTTCTCTAGGATAGGGTACCATCGTCCAAAAAAGGAATCTGATTTTTGGGAAGATTCCTTATATATTAAAGTACTAGAAATTTTGTCCGCATGTTTTTATTTTAAGTAAAAAAAAAACATGTTGTGTTTGTGTCCTTTAAAAAGTTTATCTCTCCGCTACCTGGCATTACATTTTATGACAAACGTGGCCCGGCCCGACAAGGGCTCATCTATGTCAGATCCGGCCCTCATAACAAATGAGTTCGACACCCCTGCCCTAGGGGATTTACTACCTTTTCATAGGGTGTGTGAGGCAGAGACGTTCCTCCAGGCATTTGGTTAGGGATTTACTACCTTTTCATAGGGCGTGTAAGGCACAGATGTTCCTCCAGGCATTTGGTTGAAGGCAGCGACAGTTTGGCGCTCTCATACTTCAATCTCCCCTTTTATTCCTGCATATCCCCTCCACCCAGGGGGCCGGTGGAAATTATTGTCATCTCAGCGTTAGTGTTGTTTTCCGTTGTTGTTTTTTTTGAGCCCCCGGAGGGGATTTTTTATTGATTTTTTTTTAACACTACAAAAAACTACAACAGAAAGGGGGCAAAACTACATATAAGGGAGAAAGTAAAGGACCCACTACTGACTAAAAACCCAAGAGACGAGATCCTCCAACTAGCTTTTTTGCATCCAGACTTTTCGTCTTTGTACTTCTTATGAACTGTGTCAAACTTTTAGAACTAGTTTTAACCCTCCCCATTTACATCTAATTGCCCAATAACAGTGCCCCCCATCATCCCCTGGAACCAAAGTTCTCAAAGGCACAATTCAGAGTCCTTCAGCCTTTACTGTTAGTGTTGTTTTCCTGACTGTTTTAAAGCATTTCAACATTGTTTTGACTCAATCACATTGCGTTTATTTCTGATGCAAGTCACCCCGAGCCCTGCTCCCAGGGAAGGGCGGCCGACAAACCCAACGTAATAAATAAATAAATAAAATGTAGGGCTAAATCTTTTTTAAAGTTCTGTTTTCCCCACGGCATTTCATAAGGAACTCTGGGAGTTCTGTAGTTCAGCACTGAGAATCCCAAACGCGTTTGCGGTGAAGGAAGTCACGCGTGTCCTTTATCCCTGCAGGCTGAGCCCCTACGAATGGTACAACCCCCACCCCTGCCTCCGGGAGCGTCACAACGTCCTGGAGAACCAGTACACGCTCGGCAACAGCCTCTGGTTCCCCGTGGGGGGGTTCATGCAGCAGGGATCAGAGATCATGCCTCGGGCCCTCTCCACCCGCTGTGTCAGCGGGGTCTGGTGAGTAACCCAGGGCTGAGCCCTTAACAAAACTGGGGAAAGGGCTGGGGAGGAGGGACCGGGGGCTTGGGAGACACCCCCAGTTAAAGACCATTGTTGAAGGTGGGGTGGGGGCCGTGGCTCAGAGGGAGAGCCTCTGCTTGCCATGCAGAAGGACCCAGGTTCAATCCCCGGCATCTCCTGTTAAAAGGGTCAGAGGTAGAGCGTGTGCTTGATATACAGAAGGCCCCAGGTTCAATCCCCGGCATCTCAAGTTAAAAAGGATCAGGTAGCAGGTGATGGGAAAGACCTCCGCCTGAGACCCTGGAGAGCCATGAAGTGGGGCTGTGGCTCAGTGGTAGAACATCTGCTTGGCATGCAGAAAGTCCCAGGTTCAATCCCTGGCATCTCCAGTTAAAAGGACCAGGAAGCAGGTGATGGGAAAGACCTCCGCCTGAGACCCTGGAGAGCGGCTGCCAGTCTCAGTAGATGATGCTAACCTAGATGGACCAGTGATCTGACTGAATATAAGGCAGCTTCATGTGTTCATTTGAAAGGGAGGGGCCGTGGCTCAGAGGCAGAGCATCTGCCTTGCATGCAGAAGGTCCCAGGTTCGATCCCCGGCATCTCCAGTTAAAAGGACCAGGCATGAGGTGATGTGAAAGACCTCCGCCTGAGACCCTGGAAAGTGGGGCTGTAGCTCAGTAGCTCAGTGGCAGACCATGTGCTTGGCATGCAGAAGGCCCCAGGTTCAATCCCCGGCATCTCCAGTTAAAAGGACCAGGCATGAGGTGATGTGAAAGACCTCCGCCTGAGACCCTGGAAAGTGGGGCTGTAGCTCAGTGGCAGAGCCTCTGCTTGGTATGCAGAAGGTCCCAGGTTCAATCCCTAGCATCTCCAGTTAAAAGGACCAAGTAGTAGGTTATGTGAAAGACCTCCAGCTGAGGCCCTGGAGAGCCAATGGCAGTAGACGATACTGACCTTACATGAGGCTGCCTTCTACTGAATCAGACTCTCGGTCCGTCAAGGTCAGTATTGTCTACTCAGACTGGCAGCGGCTCTCCCGGGTCTCGGGCAGAGGTCTTTCCCATCCCCTCCTGCCTGGTCATTTTACCTGGAGATGCCGGGGACTGAACCTGGGCCCTTCTGCATGCCAAGCAGAGGCCCTTCCCCTGAGCCACAGCCCCTCCATTGGTCTGATTCAGTATAAGGCAGCTTGATGTGTAGAGGCAAGCCTGGAAGACATCCTGGCCACCTGCTGACCTTTAGAGCAATTTGCTGGAGTCTAGATATTTTGAAAATGTTTTCCCCCCAACCCTCCAAAAAGTCACCTTGTAGGCGTTTGCTGCTGGCAGCTAAGAATTTGGAGAATTTTCCACCCCTAGGAATTTGATAGGCAGTGGCGTTCCTTGGAAGGGATCCCTGTTAATTAGGGCTGTGGGTAGGGTTGCCAGCCTCCAGGTGGGGCCTGGGGATCTCCTGCTTTTACAGCTGATCTCCAGCGGACAGAGATCAGCTCCCCTGGAGAGAATGGCTGCTTTGAAGGGTGGGCTCTGTGGCATGGTACCCTGCTGAGGCCCCTCCCCTCCCCAAACCCCGCCCTCTCCTGGCTCCACCCCTAAAGTCTCCGGGTATTTTCCAACCCAAACCTGGCAGCCCTAGCTGTGAGCGACCTAGGGGGCTGCCGTATGATCCGGCTAGCTCAGAATTGACAACCCTGCCTGGCAGTCTCAGGCAGAGAAAGGCCTCTCCCACCAACTTCTATCAGAGATCCTTTAACCGGAGGGACTGGGGATTGAACCTGGGACCTTCTGCGCACCAAGCCGGAGCTCTACCCCAGTGCCACTGGTCCACGTACTATGTAGCTCCGTGTTGTCTACTCAGGTTGACAGCAGCTGTCTGGCTTTGCCTTTCCCAACACGAGTCACTTGAGATGCTCAAACCGGAGATGCCGGGGATTGAACCTGCCGCCTGTTGCATACACGTCCAATTAATTAACTCAAGCGTCCTCCTTGGGGGGCGAGTTTTAATTGACGCAAGGGCACGTTTGCTGGCCTTTCGTCGAGCCGTTTTTCGGTGGCCGCGCTCTCTCGTCACGGCAAATGGGAAATAGAATTACGAAAGATGCCCTTTCCGTCCAACAAGGAATTATTGTTTTGGTTTATGAATTGTAGGTTATTATGCTTCCTCCCCGTTGCTCAAAGACGCTTAAGTATCGGTTTTGGTAACAGGCCCATTTATTCGATTAAGCCATTGAGTAATTGCCTACGAGGCGAGCGGTTAACCAAGAACACGTTCCTGCATCAGTTAGCGGCCCTGATATAAATCCACGTCCGTCGGCTGCCAGCTCCCTTGGCGTTTATTCTTCAGACATTGCAGAGTGTGTTCTACGAGGACACGCTAGTGTTTAAAGCAGGATTTATGTGTCTTTAAAGACATCTGTCCACCAGGAAAGAAATCACAGTAGCTGGTGGATACCCTCTATTGACAGAGTCCATCTGGTGGATGGGGGCTTGGGAAAAAACAGTTTGACAGTTGGAGTATAGCTAGGAAAAAAGGTCCCAGTTTTCTGTCTGGCTAGCAGTCTGGAAGCTGCCCTTTTCCAGGCAGGGGTGCAAATCAAGCATACCATCTGATAATTCTAGTTTTTTTAATCGTTCAAGGGAGGAACTGCGTGTTCTACCATGCTCAGATTTCTAACTGAAAGAAAAATGGGCTTAAGAGTCTCTGCTGCCCCCCTGCAACTCAGAAACCAACTTTGGGCGATCCTGCAGTGGCTTTTCCCTCCGTTGTTATACCAAACCCATGCTGGAACAGAAATTCCCCTCTGCATTGCAGGCCGCTTCCGCTTTCTTTGATCATTGGGTTTTATGGTAGCCTCCACACTGCATGCCACTTCCGCTTTCTTTGATCATCGGGTTTTATGGTAGCCTCCACAATGCAGGCCGCTTCCGCTTTCTTTGATCATCGGGTTTTATGGTAGCCTCCACACTGCATGCCGCTTCCGCTTTCTTTGATCATCGGGTTTTATCGCACCCTCTACGCTGCATAGAATAGATTCTTTTGAACTATGGTGCTGGAGAAGACTCTTGAGAGTCCCTTGGACTGCAAGGAGATCAAATCAGTCAATCCTAAAAGAAATCAACCCTGTTCCCTGGAAGGCCAGATAATGAAACTGAAGCTCAAATATTTTGGCCACCCAATGAGAAGGAAGCACTCCCTGGAGAAGAAGACCCTGATGCTGGGAAAGATTGAAGGTCAAAGAAGACGGGGACGGCAAAGGATGAGATGGTTAGACAGTGTCATAGATGCAACGAACATGAAATTGAGCCAACTTCAGAGGACGGCGGAAGACAGGAAGGCCTGGCGTGATCTGGTCCATGGGGTCGCGAAGAGTCGGACTCGACTGTGCGACTGAACAACAACAACTACACTGCATGCTGCCTTCACTTTCTTTGATCATCGGGTTTTATGGTAGCCTCCACACTGCATGCTGCTTCCGCTTTCTTTGATCATCGGGTTTTATGGTACCTTCTGCATAGATTTATGGCCGTTCAGGGGTGACTCTACAGTCAGTACGGGCGTTGCCTCCGGGGTGTCTGGATGTGGTTTTGAGCTGTACCTTTTCTGTTCCCGCGTGGGTTTGGTAAAACAACGGAGGGAAAAACCAATGCAGAATCAGCCTTTCCTTCCTCTTGGAACTTCGTATCGCTGGTAGGAGGAGAGGGATGCGAAACGGGAAAGCCCACGAAACTGTTTCACGGTTTAATTTGCACTGGGATCTGTCAGTGTGAAGTTCTGAAATCTGTTTCCAAAGCTGATCTGGGGCCAGTCCTTAAACCTGGAGCTTTGTCTTTTTTGTTGTTGTTGTTAGTGAGAATTTTTTCTCTCTGCAATGGCATGCGAGGTGGAAAGGGATACCTCTGAGCATGTGCAGAATGCCCTTCGCACCACGGACCCACTGTGGTCAAATTCTGTAACTGGGTTTTAGGGGAAGCAGAGCTTGCTGGCAAATTTGAGTCCTGGCACTTCTCTGGTTAGTGATTCAGCCGCAGGTACCCCCCACGAGCGCCTTCTTTCCCTGCCTTGGTGTGTAACCAGGGATTTTGTTGTTCTTTGCTGCTGCTGCTTCCCCAGGTGGGCGTTCACGCTGATCATCATCTCCTCCTACACGGCCAACCTGGCTGCCTTCCTCACTGTGCAGCGGATGGAGGTGCCCATCGAATCGGCGGATGACTTGGCGGACCAAACCAACATCGAATACGGCACGATCAACGCCGGCTCCACCATGACCTTCTTCCAAGTGAGTGCCACACCCCTTGCCGGGACTTGGGCAGATCTCAGGCTCCTTCTGGTGCAAATGAGCAGCTCTGCATGGGTCGTGCCCCTGTGGGCTGGGGAATATATTGGGGGGTGGGTGGGAGGAAACAACAATAGTGTACTGGAATTTAAAATATACTGGTTTATTTACTTCATCGATATCCTGCCTTTCTCCCAAGTGGCGGCCCAAAGCAGTTGACATTTTTATCCTTGGGTCCAGCCCAAGAAAGATCCTTAGAAAAATTTTAAGAGAATAAAGAGGTGTACTGGCCTGCAGGCTCTGAGTACCAAGTTTCAGAAGTCAGGCAGGGCGGGGTGTTGCAGTCCGAAGTCAGGGGTCCAGAGGTCAGACTAGGCAAAGTTGTACAGTTCCAAGGTCAGGCTTCCAAGAATTAGGCAAGGCAGAGTCGGTGGCTGAGCATCTATCGTAAGTGTTGCATCCACGCCTCTCTTGGCTGGTTTTTATAGCCCCATGCCTAAGGGACATGCTTGCAACCAGCTGCTCAGAAGTAGTCCTGCAACTACTCATCTTCGTCATCAGCAAGCAGCTGGTATTCGTCCAGGAGGCGTGCACTTTGCCTTCTTGCCTGTAGCTGTGTTCTCAGCCTCTGTCTGCGGCGTTCTAAAGGTGTAGGAGACACTGCTGGGCTGGGAACACCTAATGGAGGTTTGCCTGCTGAATCAGGGCTAGAGGGTGTTGTTGGCTTTGCAGCAGCCATGGCTGTGGATTCTGACAATCCTGCGTCTCATTCTCTTGCTGGTCAGCTTCTGTTAATTTGAGTCTTTTCCTGAGGAGACCAAGTCCTATTAGGAAAGGATGAAGGAGCTGGGTAAAAGTGATATGATAACCATCTTCAAGTACTTGAAGGGCTGTCATATAGAGGATGGCGCAGAGTTGTTTTCTGTTGCCCAAGAAGGTCAGACAAGAACCAACAGGTTGAAATTAAATCAGAAGAGTTTTCAGCTAAATATTATGAAGAACTTCCTGACAGTTAGAGCAGTTCCTCAGTGGAACAAGCTTCCTCGGGAGGTGGCGGGCTCTCCTTCTTTGAAGGTTTTCAAGTAGAGGCTAGATGACCATCTGACAGCAATGCTGATTCTGTGAACTCAGGCAGATCATGAGATGGGAGGGCAGGAAGGATTGCCTCAGTGCTTAGTTCTTGTGGCCCTTTCTTACACACCCAGGGAAATGCTGATCGCCACTTTAGGAAGCAATTTTTCTCCAGGCCAGTTTGGCCGAGGATCCTGGAGTTGTTGTTTTTTTGTCATCTTCTAGTCATGGAACAGAGGTCACTGGGGGTGTGGGGGGGGAGGTATTTGTGGATTTCCTGCCTTGTGCAGGGGGTTGGACTAGATGACCCTGGAGGTCCCTTCCAGCTCTATGAGTCTATGAGGAGTTCTCTTCTTCTGAGGAGTCCTTGCTATTGCTGAGCCCTGGCTGACCTACGACAAGAGATCTGGTAACAGTTGTTGTGGGTGCGAGCCCTGACCCCTAAGAAGAGCCCTGCTGGACGACAGATATCCCTAGAATCCCATCTCCAGCAATGGCCTGTTGGATGAGCCTGGTCACCTCATAAGCAGGGCATGAAATCAAATATCCTTCCACAGTTGTGGGCAGCCTCCAAGCAATGGCTAAGAGCCATTGATGGACCTGTCCACTAACCCCGTCTTTATTCTCCTTTGTAAGAACCGTCAGGGTCCCCCCCCCCCATAGCTACAAATTCCATACGTCTCAGTTTTGCATTGGAAAAGTCCAAGAAGCGGGCCTCCCTTCCAAATCTCACTTCCAACAGGAAACGAGCCCTCGTTGAATCACGTTCCTCTCACCTTCCCCTGCAGCGAGAAGATAACAGTGATGATCCGTCTCTTGTAAGAACGCCTGAAATCACAAATGAGAAGTTCTTTTTTTTTTAAAGATGGTGTCGATGCTCGTTATCGTTAGTCATCCTAGCTCTAAAAACGGAACCTCCAGATATAGAGGCAGTGTAACTCTCGAGTAGCAAACTCCGGAGTATGATGGAAGACAGGAGGGCCTGGCGTGATGTGGTCCATGGGGTCGCGAGGAGTCGGACTCGACTGTGCGACTGAACAACAACAACAAATAACTCTCGAGTACCTCGGGCTGAGGCAGATAATGGAAGGGTCAGTTATCTTGACTGGGATGTTAGCTCCATTGGGGCACTGCCGGGCGACGAGGCAGACCTGGGCTCTGATCCGGCACTGTGTAGATTTTGAGTCCAACGTTTCCCCCCATGAGGCAAGATTTCTCATTTTTGTGCAGCGCTGGAAAAACGAAAAACAGGGTTCTCGTCCTTCGTTTGTGTTTTGTCGCTACCCACTGCGGAGAATTGCTATCCCAAAAGAGGCCCTTGATCCCTCTTAACCCTGTCTATTTGTATTTCCTCCTTTTTGAAATGCTCTCCACAAAGCCAGAGATGTGCCGGACAGCTGAGGTGACCTTCATCCAGTTCTCTGCTTACATTCATTCCCTCTCTCGCCCCCGAGGTCTCGATCCCCAGAGCCTCACCCACGAGCTTGTCCCTGTAGGGGTTTTCGTCTCTTTTTTAGCACGGTGTAGGCCCAAACGCCTGTTCCTCAGAAAATATCCACACTTCCCCAGCACTGAGCATGGGGGGGGGGCTTGACTTACGGGGGTCCGAGCAACTAGGCAGTGAGGGGGAGAGGTCACGGATGGCGGTTCCCATGGCAACCGTAGCCAAGGTGGCAGTGACCAGTCTATTCAGGCCTTGTATTTCCTCCCCCCCCACTTCCCCCCAATTCCAACCTGCTCTTTGGTTGCTCTGGCAACCCGTCTCCACAGTAACAGCCACCCGTCTCTTCTCCAGGAGATGGTTAATGACGGGAAATCAATCAACAAACAAGGTGCCCCCCCCATGGCAGACAGGAAAGGCCGCTCCTGACTGATGTGGTGCCATATCTTTTCCCCCTTGGCCCAAAGTCTCCCCCCCCATCAACACCCCCCCATTAAGAAGCAAAGGGTCTTACAGTGAACTGTAAAGATAGAAGCTGTGTTGCGATCTTGCTTTCAAGATCGAATCAGCCTTCAGATGTTTCAGATCTTTGACTTTTAATTTAAGAAATAAAACAGCTCCCCCCCCCAAAAAAAAAACACACACCTCACAGTTTACCCTTGAAAAGGGGCCATTGGTGGAGAAAGACAGAGTCCTGGCGTACTTGAAGGATTCCCTGGGTATGTAGGGGAAAATTTTGTTTGTAAATTTAAAAGAAAGAAAGTAGGAGAGATTGGATTTATACCCTTCCCTTCACTACCCAGAGGAGTCTCAGAGCAGTTTACAATCTCGTTTCCCTCCCCCTCCCCACAACAGACACCCTGTGAGGTCGGTGGGGCTGAGAGAGCTCTTTCGAGGACTGCCCTTGAGAGAACAGCTCTGAGATAACTTGTGACTGACCCAAGGTCACACCAGCAGCTGATTCCCTCCCCCTCCCCACAACATACACCCTGTGAGGTCGGTGGGGCTGAGAGAGCTCTTTCGAGGACTGCCCTTGTGAGAACAGCGCTGAGAGAACTTGTGACTGGCCCAAGGTCACACCAGCAGCTGCATGTGGAGGCGTGGGGGATCAAACCCGGCTCTCCCAGATCAGAGTCTGCGCTCTACCGGGGCGATTGATACGAAGACCCTAACGCGCCATCTCTGATCCTGACTGCTATGAATTCTGACGGGTCCCTCCCACCTCGAAGCCGAAAATAGTCCTGGGTGAAGGGGGGTTAATTAAGACGGGAGGAGAAGCACTTTCTCTGATTTTAATTAAGGACTAGAAAAAAAAAGTGGCCCCCCCCCCCTACACTTTATGGCTCACGTTCAAGGGAAATCGACTGTGTCTGTTCATGGAGGCCAGAACTTTGGCAGTCGGTATGTAAGAGCATCCCTGAGCTGCATGGCCGAGATTAATCCCAATGCGATTAATGAGCAGTAGGCTTAGAACAGAT